CTCTCTCTCTGTTCTATCTTACTTGCTTCTTTTTATATGGGGAAGCACTAGCACTGAGATCGTTGAGCTATGAAAACAACTGAAATAAATAATTTTTGATAAATAATTGTCTTTGATTAGGGAGAGGGCTGTGGCTTCAGAGGGGAGGGTCATCAGTCAATATTTTAAGCAACGCCTAGAAAGGTTGGATTATATTTAAAAAATAGYGTTTTTGGGGGGAATCAGGTAATCTTTATGAATAAGTAAGTATTATGTAACGGTTTGTTTGAAATCTTCGTGTATGTGCGTCGGACATAGCGATCAATTATTGTCCAACGAAATTTAGACTAAAAATAGCTGGTAAATAATTCCAGTAATTCTGGGTTGTCATGCTTTAATAAAATATGTTATTTCTGTATTGTTTTTTGTTTTTTTTGTTTGTTTGTTTTGTTTTTTTTTCAAGGTTGTTTGATTTTGTATCGATATTTAGCAATTTTTTCCCCCGTATATTTTTAGGTTTAGGAGGGTTTATTAACAGGAAAAGATGTAATGTCACCACCCCCTCCCCCTCCCCCACCCAAAACCCAACCCAACCCAACCCCATCCCCACCACAACCCCCTCTGCCCTCTCAGACGCGCGAAAAATAATGACTTAAAAATAATAAGCTAGCTAAAGTGCTAGTCTTACGAAAATAAAAAATCTGCTGAATCAATTAACCAAACACGAACGCGTGACATAACACCTGTCGCTATCTACATTAACAGTCACGTGATATAGCGGCTGAWATAACCCAATTATATGGCTACTAGCTAGTGTTCCTTAAGAAAATTAAGTGCAAAATAGAAGAAAAAGTCAGTAGTCGAAGGTCGCTATTGCCGATCGAGTATTTTTAGTAAGTATATAAATATCATAAGCACCGTTGCACCATACGGCGACGAAAGATATYGCATGACTGTGAAAATCTCAKTACCGTAAGCGTGACGTGCCGTGACTGTRATTTTCTAGAATTWAAATTGGCTAATTATTTTTCTCGCGCAATGTGATTGTTCTGACAGTACGGTGACCTTTTCGTGACCGTGTCCGCGCCCTGTTTATGCCTTTTTACGCGGGTAGTTGATTGGATGGAGAGTAATTTCTCGTGCAATGTGATTGGTCTGGTGTGCCTTTGCCGTGTCACAACCGTGTTCGTGCTGGGAGCTTGACAGTATGACAAAACCTACTGTTAAAATGGTTGACACATTAAAATCACAATAGTTACGGTTTATAAGCATTATGTCCAACTAGACTTGGCGCTGAAGGGTTGAATACAGCTAAACGATTAATTGAAACTAAAACCATCGAATCAAAAGAGAAACTTAACGAAACTCTACTCGCATGTGATGCCGAGTCCAGGAATCGAACCTGAGACCCCTAGAGTGAGAAACCGAGCACCCGTAAAACGTAACCAGAAATTTTCGAAAAGTGTAACTTTTGTCGGCTGAAAGAAATTCTCTATATTAACAACAATGATGATAAAAGGGTAAATTTTACACCGTGAAAAGATGAAAAAACTTACTGACGTTTCGCTAGCCGTTAGTCCTTCGTCGGAAATGTCAGTAAGTTTTTTCATCTTTTCACGGTGGAAAATTTACCCTTTTATCAGTATTGTTTCATTAGAAACACCGACGCAGCTCACACTAGTTTTTAGCTAGCTATCTCTTCTATTTCAATAACAGTTGGTGTCAGAATCTTTTGCAAACAATGCATTGCGCGCGCAAGGAATYGGACGGTTATAAGGCACACGTGATGGGGAAATAAAATAGCTTATAAGAATCACTGTTTACGCCAAACGTGAAACGTCAGCCGACCGCTGAAAATATCTTTGAATTTAGTAAAAAGGAATCAAATATCTAAGTTATAGATAAACATAAATACTTGTCTTTGATGAGAAGGGTGTAAGGTAAAATAAAAATACAGTAAAACGATAAAAACGTGGTCATGTTTGCCGTTTGTGGGGAACAGAAAAAAAAAACGTGAAACTTAATGTCTAAATTAAGTAGCAACGTAAATTACGCGGTATTTCGGCTCAAGAAGATTCTGAAGCTTTTCCTGAAGCGTAAAGTGATCTGATTTAAAGAAACGAGACTCGTCAAAATAGCACGTACAAATCACTTCCATGGAAAAGAAAATCAAATTAATGTCGTCCTCGTTCAGACAAAGCTCATTATTACTTTGTCTTACCGTTGGTCGAAAATTTGACCAAATAATCTTCCTAGATAATCGCTGGCTACTGACCCAGTTTACCTCAAATAAAACATGTCAATCATGTTAGATTAATGAGTCAGTAATACTGAATCGAGTACATCATTAACAAAACAAACCATTTTCCACTTATATCTTCATTAAGCTACTTTAAAAGGCTTTCAAGGGCGTGTGTTTCTCAAGCCACGTTTTGAAATTCTTTATTTATTTTGTCGTTTTGGTTTTTGCTTTCACAAAAGGTGGTTTTTATTGGACTTGTTTCATTCCAGTTTAAGTCACTTATTGTAACAGGTCATTACTTGGTCACGGATAATGGAGGCTGTTCCGAAGAACCTTTTCATTTTGGTTTACAGCTGGATTTGTAATCTGATCAGAACTTTTTTTTTCAAGAACTCTGCTTTGCCGCGATGTTCGAGCATCGACTACGCCGCCAAAAGTATGTCGATCACCATCGATTCATTTACGCACTACGAAGTATTTTTTACACGTCAAGAGTTTAGTGAAAATGAAGGGAGAAAAGCCTTTAAAACGGAACGTACCGACTCTCATCAAATCTATAAAGAGCTGACATTTATAGCTTTAGTATACTACCGAGTGTGTCAGAGATATTAGAGATATTATTTCCTAAGTCGGTTTTTTATTGAATTCTCTTTGGTCTAAAATCATATTTATCTKATGACTTGAAGTTGATACTGGAAAAAATACCTGAATTGAGCATTTATAAAAACTTCAGTACATCGCTCGATAAATAGAGAAAAAATCGCCATTTTATAAACGTAGTAGAAGTGGAAATGTTGTTTTAATTAAGTATTGGTCAAGAATTCCCGCCACTTCTTCGAAGTTCTATTTGCTGTCAATTTAGGATCATAAAAAATCATTTGKCCCGGATAAAATCAGTGATTTTATCGTTTTTCCTCTTCCAAATTAATTGGGCAGCGTTTCTAAGGCACAGCCAAAAAAATAGCTTTGTGTGATTTATAATCCAGTACAGCATCGCTTCCGTTTGCTCGATTTATTAAATAAGAAAAGAAGGAAAGAAAAACGCTTTTACAAAACATCCATTTCAGATCCGAAGAGAATAGAATACACTATTTTAGTTACTTATTTGCCGACTACAGATTTAGTAGCCGTGTTTAATTACGGTTAAGTTATCGGGGGGGGAAAAAACAATTAAGCGCCCAGAAATGAAAGCCTATTTTTTGCTTTTTGATTTCGGTTTAAACGTTATCACTATGATATGAATGCTAAGCGAAGATGTGATCGCTCAAGCTTGTATAGGATTAGTAAGATTTATTAGTAAGACAAAGACAGTTTGCGTTCTGTAGACTTCATGACGGAGAATTAGGATCAAGAAAAAAATGAATCGAGGATGAAAATTACTCTCKAAAATAATTATTCGGGGTTTGGTTTGTGATAAATGAGTCTTTCCTAAGTAGGAAGTCAGCGTAACGACTCCAATAAAGTTTTTGTTTTACTCTGATTAAATCACAATAAAAACCTTCAGTCCGTATTATTAGCGAACGTATTTACATCTAGACATTCTCTCTCAACGCATTTGTGTCAATATTTTGTAGAAAATTGRTGTGGGTTATTGCACGAATGATGTACCCGCAGCATGTTGCATTTCACGTTTATAGACCGCCAAAAATACCCCGTCGTGAAGACTGCGCTATCGTCGTCTGATGACTCCCATTTTACCACGAAGTTATTCTTTAAATGCCGCATTAAAATTCAATTCCATTTTCTATTCCAGTTAACTTTTTCCCGCACATTTACAAGTAAATTAAGAAGATATTCCCTGATTCCTATGAATTCTTGATTGCCTTTCTATCRATGTCCTTGTTCGCTTTCCGAGGCTCATTTTCCCCAAAGATTTGCAGCCAAGAATTAGCAATCTTTTGTGCCTCGGATTCCTCATCTCCGTCTAATTTTTCCCATGAATATTGTTTCGTGGAACAAGAAAGTAGTTTCGTTTCTTTGACAGGAACAGGGACGGCGTCGTTTACTGACCGTTGAAACCTTTCTCTCATACTCTGCGCTGAACATACATCTGGGAAATATTCCGGAAATAAGGAGAAGCCCTCTTGCCAGACGGGCTCCTTGATTTTAAACGCTGTTGGCGATGGATGTCGTAGGGAAGTCGGGATATGAATATCTGGGTGAAGCTCAAAGCTTGACTCTAATTTAGTATTAATCCCTGGTGAACGCATTAGACTTGATGATGTGGTTTTAGGTCGTGCTCCCTGCTTTAAATGCAGCGCGCGCTGATCATCGAAATGAATATCACTCTTTTTAAAATCTGTGAGTTCTTGCTTTTCGGATGAGCTTTCAAATTTAAGAGTTTTCTGTTGCTGTAGCGTAGATCCAAATGTTCCTTCGTGGATTGCTGAAGACCATGATTCGTCTGAAAACAATTTTGAAGATTCTGATGTTTTGAACTGCTGCACTTTTTTTCCTGATGTTTTAGTTATTGATGTAGTCTTCGTAACTACTTTAGACGATGTAACGTTCTTCGTAGACGATGATATAGTTTTCGAAACAGTAGTTGCCTCTTTTTCTCCATTTTTTTGTGTCACAAGCTTCTTCATAGTTGGAGTGGTAGCCACACTGGCGTTGTGCATTTTTGGAACTGCAAAAAATAACAATAGCAGTTTCAATCAGTAATTTTAGATAAGAATCTTTTAAGAAAACACCTTGGACTTTCGCTGCCGGCTTGTCTGAGATGCCCCTTTTTATAACTCCTAGCCAAATGAAAAGTGATAACGCCAACAACATCAGCCTTTGGGTAAAAAATGACTACACTTACTCTAGGTTCGCTGTAATCGTCCTACGATTCTCAGATGGGTACCTACCGCCGAATACTAAGGCTGATTATCCGTAACTCGCCAGCAAATGTACATCATCTAAAAATGAGAATCTCAGTTGTAAATTCCGTCGAGGACAACGTACTGCCTGGCGTRAAGTGAATACGTGTTTTGTTGATGATCAAAAACGAAGGCCACTTCGCTGTGTGTGGATTATAATGCGCATGCTCCACATCCAGGTGACCAAAACAAACTCGGAGAGCAAGTATATTGATGGAGTGATGGAGAGTAAATTAAGCTCTTTTTAAAAAAACCTTTAGAATATCGACCACAAGTTTCGATCGCTTCGTGGGTAATTAATATCGTTAGCGGGGGAATATTAAAGTGACTAAATCYCCATAATAAATTAGCGGCTACAACTCACTAAAACCAAGATTTACTGGAATAGAATATTTCGGCTAAATGGCTTTAGAATAAAAAGTAAAGTTCATTTGTTACAGTGTAAATAGTGTAGGATGAACAAGCATGGTGTTGTCACAGGTTACGACTTGTGTAAACCCGAAACTGAATAGCCGGGCTATTTTTGTCTACACGTTTTTCCCCATATGTACTCGTTAAACTCTGCTGTCTTTAGATTTCTCCATTCATTTATATATACCATGTAACCTCAAAAAAATTATCTTAAAATCCCTAACGTAAATACAAAACATTACTAATGGAATATCACAAATGGTTTTTAAAATATAAGAGAKTCACTTCCCGAAATAATTACCTCATGCATAATATATGAGAGGAAAGGTAAAACCTGTGTCCAATAGACAATGATAAACAAAGGATCTCCTTCGTGTAAATGATATTCCTATGACAACGTAAAAAGGTGTATACGGAGTTGATAGCAGCAGTGATAGCACTTAGACATTAAATTAKCTGGGACAAATCCTAACTAGAAGGCAAAAATATATCTGCATATATATTGAATAGTCGACGGCTAGTTTATGAGATTATTGAGCCTTCTGATACTGTGAGTTTTTGTTGTTGTTTTTTTCTTTTTTTTTTTTTAAATGATGTTGTCGATGTTCTGATTGTTTTTTTCCCGATGTTGTTGTTGGTGGTGTGGTGGGGGTAGTGTTTTTGCTGTTGCTGCTGCTGCTCTCGCTGTTGTTGTTGGTGGTGGTGTTTTTGTTGTTGTTGTCTTTATGTTGTTTTTGTTTTTTCAGTTGTCGTAGGTGTTTTTGCTGCTGTTGTCTTTTTCGTTGATGCTGCTGTTGTCGTGTTGCGCTGTGTATTTTTCTTGAATCCAATGAAGGCCCAACACCCCAAACGTCATAACAACATTTTCACTTTCATCATGCTTCGTAAATAAACCAGCGTAACTAAAACATCTTAAGTGTTCTACTTTAATATCTCTATACTAYCATTGATCCGATCTTATCAGCGGGCTACAATTTCCTACTGACGGGGGAGGGCGTGCGCAGCGGTTGCACAAAGACTCCTAATGTACGTAATTGTTTTAGAATGGAAAAGAAGTAAGTCGTTTTTTATTTTATTTTTTTTAATGTTGGCTAGACAAAACAATATGAACCCACAGTTTCTTAGCAGCATGAATAATACCTCAATGTTCCGCGGCTTTTAATTTTTCCAGAGTATGAAAGCAATAAATATGTATTCTAAGCTAACAGTTTCCTAAGCTTCCTARTGACAGTTTATTCCTAGTGACATATAGATCCCTCGGTGCCCACTTTTCCCAGGTCATTTATGCCCCAATACTCCGTTKTAAGGAAATAAAAGCTATAGTTACACGCATTAGAGAGACTAGTTGAAACAAAAGTGTGAGATAACGGAGCTAGTTTAGGTTCAAAGTACGAACTTCTTACTCTGTTAAAAGTACATCCACATCCATTTCATTTTGATGCTTTACATAAAAACACCAGGTTTTCACTTCAACGCTGTGTCGTCCGGAAACAGTCGAAATAAATCCACGGACAATCATATCATGYCATTCTGCAGAATTCACACACTTAAACAGTTTACTTTCATGATGATTTACTTTAGTGCTAACGTACTGCTGAAAGATTCTTTTGGCAAATGGAAAGACTCGCACGATTCCAGTAGAAATTTGAATAGTTCAATAAATCTTTGAATTTTGGTCGACAGTTGTCACCGAGTGCCCGGAGTGAAATTGTCAGTAGTTTTCAACGTATGCGGATAGTAGAGATGTAGAGTGGCACATGTCTGATCATCAAGACACACGGAAATTTCATATCAATCGAAGGCTTATCTTTCGGCGCAACCATTACAGGGAGTTATAGATTTGATGATTTCTAGTACTGGATTTTATAGCCGCCATGTTGATTCATCGCAGTTTAAAAAAAGTTGTTTCGTTGGTCTTGATTGTTATAAGGACCAAAATGGCGGCGCCCACGTAATTTGCTTTTGTCGTTTCAGTCTACTGAGAAAATAAGTGCGTCAAGCATCATTATCATCGTCATCTTCATTTCGTCGTCATCATCATCGTCATCATCATCAGTCATCACCATAGTCATCATCATCATCATTATCAATATAATCATCATTRTRTATCATCATCATCATCATCATCATTATCACCATAGCATCAATGTCGTTATCGTGGTCAGGACCATCAATGGTTATCACTGCCATCATGAAAAAAACTTCAAATCATGATCGATCTCCTTATGCGCTGTACGTTTTTAATCAGTGTCGCCTAATTTACATTTTCAATTTACTTTCCTTTCCTTTTTCACTTTTCTCATGCATGGCTTTACGTCAGGATGAGGTACGCCTTATGTCAGGACACGGACCGGAGGTAGAGATGCCTGCTTGCACGCACAGCCAACCACAACGCAAGATGTTTAGGATACCGGACCGAAAAAAATAATATAAATTTTTCCCCTTCCCCCCTCCCAACTGTCGACGTCCTATCGTAGCAAATAACATAACATATCAAGCTATATTACCATTACCATGTAAACCATCGGAAACTTGTTTTGTTTTTTTTTTATAAAAACGCGGAAAACTTTCGAAAGGAAAACGGTTTCAAGTGCTTATGCGCATATAATTYGTTAACGTAATGTTATGGTATTATCACGGCTCTCGATCGTCCAATACAATCAAAAAACGAGACGTGACAATTTTGGTAAAAACTTATTGTTTACGGCAGTCAACATAGCCGGTATACAGCCGGACGTCGATTCCGATATCTCCATAATAATCTCCCACCAATGGGTTGCTCATATCTCTTTTCGTTATCATTTTTATCTCTGTCAATTTGCAAATACCTCCTATATTCGATAACTTGTAGCGTCAATAATTCCCCTGTCTTGAGCAGATCCGGTCACATTTCATACTATCGTCACTGTTCTGATCTTTTTTACTTCAATTTCTTCGACTTCAGGCATTCTATTTTTATACTGAGTAAAAATAACAGCTTGTCAAAAATCAATCCTCAGATTGTCTCTCACTAATCCAATAGAAGCCTTCATATTAAATCTCCCTAAGATTTATTATCCAAGAATGAGTTGTCTCTCCGCTAATCCATTATGTCTGGAACCCTGCCTCCGCTACCAAATCAAGTCTAAGTCAAACTTCGCCACGTTTTGATTAAACGCCCTTTGTAATAAAGTCTCCGCTAAAATTATCAACAATAATTTGAATAACATAAACTTAGAGATAAGTTAACATCGCCACCTGTTTTACGTGTTAGCTGTCAGAATCCATATCTTTATAGTCAATCCTCTGAGAATCCGCGACAATATTCAATCAGCGGTTAAGATCTAACTGCTAGTTTCATAACATGCGAACTCTGTAGTTTTCAGCCGGCTGTAAGCTGAAATTTGGTTTTTCGCTACCGTAACTTTTGTATTTTTGACTTGCGGCAGCGAAAATCGAATTTCAGCGTGCAGCTCGCACAGCTACCGAGTTCGCATTTTTATGATAATGGTAGTAATGTTTTGTCTCTGTGTTTTACAGGCAGAGCCTACGTAAAAAGCAGTTAACGTAATGTTTTCGTAAATACAATGAATCATGCACCTAATACAATAGATAGAACAAAAATAAAATACGCAATAACATTTCTGAATAAATTACATCAGTTGAGTGCTATGTAGGTTAGGTTCGCCGATGTTCTTCAACTCTTTACAGAAAACAAACAACTCGACCGCGTTCTCGTTCTTGAGTAAACGCTCGGAATTGATCACACCGTTAAGAAACGAAGGAACCTAGGTGAACTTTGCTGACCAAAACAGGTTCTAGTGGTCGGGATTTTTCATTTGGTGGTCTTCCCGAGCTATTTGCTCAGAACCATTCATGTATTCTGAGAACATTGTTGTGGAGAGAAGAGGGCGAGGGACATTTGTGCCCTCCCCTTGAGGAAAGGTAATGATAAAAGGGTAAATTATACACCGTGAAAAGATGAAAAAACTTTTCGACGTTTCGGACGCTAGGGGTCCTTCGTCGGAGTAAAAGAGAAAGAGGTGAGGAAAGGAGTTAATTATGCTCTGTGTTGTGTGATAGAAATGGACTCCTCTTGGGTTGCGCAAGCCAAGTGGTTTTTGTGGGAATATCAACCCAACTAGCTCGTTACGCCACTGTATAACGACAATAAATAGACCACAAGAGAAAAAACTTTTGTTTAATTCATTCCCCCCTCTTGAGGGTGCATGTAACGTCATAACAAAACATTCCTCAGCAGCTATTTCTTTTTCCGACTCCCCTTAGTTACCGCTGCTATGTCCCCCAGGCTTAACAAACTATCTTGAATATCTCAGAATATCTCAAAATTTAAAACTCTGATCGCGGAAAATAAATCGTAAATTTCTTCAATTGTTTCATGTCATGCGAAAAGAATAGAAAATTTCCTTGTAATCCTTGTAGTACTCTTTAAAACAGATACTGTGTAGTTGTTGTGGGACAAGATTTTAATTCCACTGAGAAAACTGCTGTAACGGTGATGTCACTTTTGAAATTTTCGGCGTATTTCCGATGAAATTTCTTTCTTTTTTTTATTTTATTTATTTTATTTTTTTATCGAGAAACACCGAAAGATCAATTCAAAAGTGACATCGATTCTTTTGGCCAGCTGCTGGGTTACCTAGACAACTAAACAACTAAATAATGCCTTCCGTTTTCATTATACCAAGAAAAATTAACAATATTATTTTTTCAGAAATGCCGATATGCATACCTTTTCTTATCTTCCTTTTCAGTTTTCTCTATTTTCTTTCTTTTTTCTTTTCGTCCTCTTCTGTAATTGCAAAGCAAAAACAATCTGAATTTTATGGCCGTCTGCAAACTATCTATCATGAAAACATTATAATTTTTTGTTTTCGTATTTTGCAGTTTCGCTTTCAAACTTACTCCCCGAATTATTATTTCAGCTATTTCCTATACGTAAGTAATATTTGGATGTAAACTCGTATTCCACCTGTTCTATCATGCTCTAACCGTAACTCATTTTCATTTCTTTTGCGAACCGTCGAAATGACTTCAAAAATTGTCGATCGTATCACGCTGAGTCTACACGTTTCCTTTTCTTATAAGTCACACTTCATGAAAGTTATAAAAAAAACTTAATATTGGTATAAAAAACCCGACGTGTGAAACTACAGAGTGATAATCTTCGATGCATTTCTTATCAAAATGTCAAGAATAGAAAAAAGTTTAATGAATTTGAACTGAAATGATATTATATTAGTTCGGTGGCGCGAGTCAATGTGAAGCAATCTGCTTGACAGGTAGTCCATTCCAGTAAATTTACAACCATAATTGTCTTTTTCTCCAATTATAATCCGGATATTTTTAGAGATTATCTTAATCCCGTAGAAAAACACGCTTGTTGAAGCAGGAATTGCTAACTTTCAGTTAAAGTGATCCCTTGCAAATTTTGTATCATGACATCTAAAAATAKAATTTTTTAGGAAACCTGACATGATCAATATTATCCCTTGAAAACGCTGTTTTGAGACCGTTGTCAACAACCCAAAATATCATGCCTTCGTTGCAGTGTTAGAGTTATCATGACTAAACTTAAATAGCCTRCATGCCTGGTGGAAGAATTAAAGGCGTGGGTATGTTTTGCTTGTTTTCTTTCTTCTGAAAAGGCTAATCATTTGTAAATGCATGTTTGTGCTAAATAGAGAAATGGGCGACGAACAGCCGTTTAGGTGAAATTTAAAGAACTGAGATTTAAATATAGAAAACCGGAAAACGAATTCAAAACAATTCACGGAACGCAGTGACGTTCACTGGATGGCGATACTAACTCACGTCTATAAGAACCGGGAAAAAGATATAAACGATTGTCCTTACTCACCGTGGCCTAAATGTCCAACCTGCCTTTCTCGCCGACAGAGAATAGAAAATATAAACTAGCTCAGTAGAATTGAAATCTGATATTGTCCGAGACCTGCCGAGCGAACAAACGGATGCTACACCAGTCAGTTCTTTCGAGTTGCTTTGAGGTAGAAAGAAATGCTCGTGAGGCCTGGGTGCGCCGCATATGCTGACACTTAACTAAAGCCAATAGACACGCGCAATAAAAACACGTTTACGTCGGCAAAAGCCAAGAAAGAACGTTCTAGTGAATTCGTGTGTTGTTTTCAAGATATCACACATGATTCATATTTTCAATGTTTTAGAATGTTCTTGCTTTGCACGTGATGTTAATGATCTGGTTACCATGGTAATATCATTACACCATGGACCAACAGGCAGGACGGACATGGTTGGGAACAATGGCTTATGATGTGTAATGGTTGATTATCATTCATTATCTTTGTATATTGCCACGCTATGGCGGTCAAYGACTCAAGAATTAACGATATGTGATGACTAGGAAAGGAGGTAGAATAAATCGTTTTAAAACCATTTTTCAAGAGACTTGTTTTTTAAAAGATTTTATCACGCGTTAATCCTCATGACACGAAGCAGTTTGTACAGATAATCTCCAATCACTAACATATACGATAGAAATAAGATTTTTAAAATCCCCAAAAACTCGATTCACTTAGTGCAAATATGTTTTTCATTTTTGGTTCTGTAACGAGTTCCTGACAGTGTTCTGCAGGCACTCCCAATTTCTTGCAATTATATCTACTTAATATTTATTTCTACTGAAGAGTGTAGGAGCTCACTTTAGAGAAATTTCATCAAGTAAAGATGTCTAATTAAGGGTTAGAGACTGCCARTTATTCCAGCAACGTTTTCCGACAAATGACGACAGATTTAGCTGAGTCAATTAAGCTGCCACGATCGAGGCCGCAAATCGTCTTACTTTGAAACCTGTCGCAAACTAAAGGATTGCCATATGTCAGACSGGCTCTAATCGATTTGTGCAGAAACTTAAGCGGATATAAGTAAGCTTATAAATGAGATTAAAATATCACTTCTGAATTCTAGATTTGATGGATCATATTGTCATTCTTAATGATTTTCCTGAGAGAGAGAGAGAGAGAGAGAGATAGAGAGAGAGAGAGAGAGAGACAACAGAAAAGAAAAGAAAAGAAAAGGGAAAAGACGGGGAAAAGACAGAATAATAATGATTAATATCTGCGAGTTTACTTCTCTTTTCCATTAATTGAAATTTATGGCACTTTGAGAGAGCCATTTTTTACTCAGTATTTAATGCTGCGTATAGTAAATAGCACATTGTCATGTTGAAGTTAGAGGAAAAATTAGGAAAAAATACCTAAAACCAAAAAGTTCTGAAACCCAAATTCAAAGTTTTGGCTACTAAACATCCATCGGCTAAATTAAACTTAGTATACTTCAAGTGTGTCTTGGTTGGTTAGTGTGCTGCCTGCTAAGCAAGAGGTCCATAGTTTGATCCTCAGTGA